TGTGTGTGTGTGTGTGTGTGTGTGTGTGTGTGTGCGCGCGAGTGACATGTATTGGTTTGTGTGCATCAATTAAAGCAACGCATTAATATGGAGCGGTGATTAAACTGACTTAAAACTACCTGTGCATTAAACGGTTTTACTGCATACCTGCCAGCCAATCAGAATTCAGTATTCAGACAGACCATGGAGTAATGTATATATACTGTATTATACATAAATAAATCAATTTATATGTTTGTGTGTGTGTAAATAAAAGATAGATATTAAATCTATATATATTTAAATGTATATTTAATCACTACAACATTTAAATAAAAAACTGTTTTTATTTGTTACAATTATTTGTAAAAGTTATTTTAAATAATTTGATTAAATATGTCAATATAAAATAGTTCTTCAAAAAATATAAAAGCAAAACATTCAAATTAATTATAAACTTTGTGTAATTATTACAATTATAAAGTAAAATAAAAATTTAATTTAATTAAAAATTATTTATGCTATTGTGTTATTGCAAAAACAGTGTGTACTTGTAAAAAAAAAAATTGTATGCAGTTAAAAGTATAATAATGCTATTTTGTCTGTCACAAAAAGCATTTTATATTTAGATTATATAAAATTATAAAAGTAAAACTTTAAAACAAATATATACATATACATTTAATCACTAAAACATTATAAAAAGTATTTAAATATAAAAATATAAAAAAATTACTTTTAAATATAAAATTTACAAGTAATTTTATTTTAACGTGTAATTATTTGTAAAAGTTATTTAAAATTTTTTTTACTAAATGTGTAAATATTTATTTTTAAATAATAGTAAAATTCAATATAATTAAATTTTGAATTCATTAAATAGATTTTTAAACAAATTAATTAAAAACGTTTAATTAACAAATAAAATTAAAACAGTTAAAATGCTATTTATAAACAGTTAAAAAATATCAAAAAATCTAAAAATGTTGGAAGAGGAAAAAATTAATACAGATGTAAGAATGTTGATTAAAAGATTAGGAAAAGAACAACAATGCTACATAAAAAAAAAGTGTAATCATTGAAAAATAAATTGTATTTAATTTATGTTAAATTCATTATAAACTTTGTATAACTAATACAATTATAAAAATAAAATAAAAATATTTTAATTAAAAATAAATATTTATGATATTATAAAAAATATAGCCTGGCATGTTGTCTTTTTAACCATAATTAGTTTTTTGGCATTTTTTTGCTGTCACATTGGCTGACCTGAGTTCTCTCAGTATATTGTGTGAGGTCTGCTGTATCCTGCAGGTACAGAGGTAGAGCAGACAGCGGCGTTTCTTTCTCTTTAAGAGGCTGAAGACTTCCTGTGAACGTCAGAGTGGGAATGGACTCCAGCCTGGACCTGAACTGAGGCTGAAACACAGAGAAGAAACTTGTCACCCATCATTACAGCAATAAAACAACACAAAGAGGAACTAGGGGGCTGGGCGATTTTTCAGATTTTATCGATTAATTCGAATTTAATGGTTTGCCACGATTTTATTTTTTAGAAATCAAGGAATCATGATTTTGAATAGAAATATTACCAAACGTTATAATTAAGACACTTTGACAATATTACCAAATGTTAGAATTAGACGCTGCCAATATGCCGGTGATAACAGTAAAGAGAAAAGAACGATCCAGCCGCATGTCGGCGCACGTGATTAACCGCTCATGTGTGACGCGCTCATATCACACAGAATGTGCTTTTGTATTAATAAAGATGTGACGTGGCAGTGGAAGAGGAAAACATGCAAGAAGATGGGAGTGAACTTCTTCTAACTTGAGCGGTGTGTTTTTAGACTGTCGTTTCATGCAAGAGACGCGAGCGCAACAGTCCAACACTTCCATGTTTACACAGAAAAACAATGGAAAAGCAGTGCAATCGAATTAAAATCTGTAAAGAAGTACTACTGTATGTCTGATATTTCATGTTTGCATCACGGTGACTGATGACTGAAAGCTGCTGTTCATTGTTTTTACAGAACATTTATAGTTAATAATAGTCTGCTGGTGTCTTACCTTCAGTCATTTTGAATTACCTTGACTTTTGAGATTTTTTTTAAAGCATCTTCCTCGTATTATTTCTGAATATATGTGACCCTGGAGCACAAAAGCAGTCTTAAGTATCACAGTTATATTTGTAGCAATAGCCAAAAATACATTGTATGGGTCAAAATTATAGATTTTTCTTTTATGCCAAAAATCATTAGGATATTAAAGGGTTAGTTCACCCAAAAATGAAAATTAGGCTGCGTTTTACTCACCCCCGAGGCAT